CCCTAGTCCCAGCCCTGCATTATACATACTATATATTTAGACATTTCTGGATGATAATGTGTTCTGAAAAAGTTTCAAGATAAAACTAGATTCTGATTAAATGATTAAAATCTAGGTCCCTGGAAGTCTGAGTTTTTTAAAAACTAGTTTCCATTTTCCAAGATGTTTTATGAACCAAAATGTAAAACAGAAAACCCTGAAGTTGTCATCAGATAAAAAAGAACATCATAACTTAAAGCCATCAAAGGATTATTCTTTTAGTGGAAGTTTAAGCAAGTAAATGTGTTTGGAATCAGAGTTTCTGGAAAGTTGATTTTGTAGCCAAAGTTGATATTTGCTAAGCCCGTTTTCTTTTTTACTTATGATAGAAAGACTTACATTGCATAAGGATATAAACAATATTTGCTATAACCTATTTGTTTTCAGTGGAAAAAGGAAGTTCAACACATCATTGTAATGGATTATTTTATAGTACTATATGTAGTCTTGACCAGTTTTTTTTAATATGAACTTGGTTTGGGGGCCTTTTCACAATTGATTAGCATAAGCTCAATTGTTCTTTGCAGTTTTTCTCTATCTGCTGATCAGCAAAGATCCTATGTATTACACTTCAAAAAGCTACATTTTTATTTCAGAAGCGTGTGATTGGCCATGGCATGCAATTGATAAAATAGAAATATTCTGGTCTGGAATTCACTAATAAAGGAAAATGTTACCCTGGTTTTTGCCAAACTCAGTTTTCTTGTCTTTTTTGTTGAAGATCATGTTGCTGTCCAGTGGCGTTTCCTGGGTGTTTGTTGTAGTTTCTGAAGTCTTCTAAAGAGTAGACATTTCAGGCTAGACAGAGCAACTGTCAATCACCTTAATTGTAAAAGGAATTATTTACATTTAATGCTTAAAAGTGTGCACACAGGACCATACTTTTATTTACAGGCATTGAGAAAGTGACAGCAATTGCATGGTAGTTTGTTAGAAGGAGGAAATCTGGAATACAAATCTAGGAATTTTTTCATGCCTTCCCTTGACAAGTTTTTAGGGGGAAAGTGTAGAGATTTGTAACACTCACTCTGGAAAAGAAGACAATTAAGGTTTACTTTTGAGGTTTGTAACTAATGCCCTAAATTGGGTATATTTAGATTTCTACTACATATGAAGATACCCAAAATATTTTCATAATGTATTGAGAATTTATAGAATAGGAAAACTGTGATTTAGGCTATATTTGTTATAGTGCAAATACAATGCTGCTTATTTTGGTGGCCTCTATATACCTAGATAATTAAACCATAAGCAACAGCATTTTTAAATAAAAGGACTGTGAACATCTTGAGTAAATCCATGAGGAGTATATATGGATATGGCATTTGGTAGATACTCAGTGTATGTTTGTCGACTTTATTTATTTAGCAAACATTTAGGTGGCAGTTAATATGTTACATCTTAATATCAAAGCTAATTTTCCCTCTTTACAGATGAGAAAACTGAAGTCATAGAGAGATTAAATAACTTATCAAAGGTTCCATAGCTGGAGTTGAACCCATTTGGCTGACAAGGCAATTAATTACCCCACTAGATGGTCTCTGTGGAGTGAAATGCTGAACAACGTGTATTGAACAATTATTTTTATTAACATCAATATTTGTTGATGTTTATTAATATCAGTGTTCACTTCCTTAATAATTGTTTATTTAGTACCTAGTACATGCTAGGCCTAGGCACTGTACATTTCAGGCAATGTCCTGAAACTGTAGGGTGAACAAAATAGGCCAAGTGTCTGGCGTTATAGACCTTACGTTCTAGTGAAAATTCTGTGAGGCTATTAATATTTTAAAACGCTTTCGTTTCAAGTTTTTTAAGTGCTAGGACTATGTCTTTTGTCTCCATTCCTGACTTCCTGCTCAGTTCATGGTAGATATTAAAGAATGCATGAACAAAAGAAAAAAAAAAAGTGAATGAAAATACAACTTGCAATGTTTCCTCCTTTTTAAATTTTATTTGAAATTGTTTCCTGAATAATAAAATACATTCATACAGAGAACATTTAATTCTGTAGAAATTTTGCAAAATACTGTAATTATCTCTAAAGTTTCAAGTTTTAAAGAAAACATGTTATTTGGGAATAGGAAGTAGGAACTTTATTTAAAAGGTCAGAAAATATGGTACAACATTTTATTTTATTTTTTTTAATTTTTTGTTTATTGCAGTAACATTGGTTTATAACATTGTATAAATTTCAGGTGTACATCATTTTTAAAGCATTTGTTTATAAAGTGTTCTATATGATCGACAGTGGGCTAATTAAAATGTTCAGATTAATGTATAAATGAAACCTATCTTAGTCTCTTCTTTTTAACTGAGTTGTGATCACGGTTATAGAGCACACAAATTAGAAAAATCTTGGTTTGTCAAACCTTACATATGGGGGACATGGGGTACACAATGGCATATAGCTATTCAAATGGCACTTGAAACTTCAGAAAAAAATGCATGGCAATCGCTTCATTTATTAAAATAAGAATACCAAATATTTTTTACTTTATTGGTTTATCCTTAGTATAAGATACTTAGATATGTAGCCCTTGACCTAATAGGAATCAAAATAGAGGTGGTTCTACTTCAAGAATTTGTAATAATCCCTTCACTTTAACACATGAATGTGTTCAATATTGGCGAAAGAACATGTTGCTACCAAAACTGAAATTAGATCCTTGAAACAGAAAGGATGTTGCCATGGAAAAATGAAGTAACACTCAGTGCAGCTGTGATGCATTAATGAATAGGATATTTTTTTAAAAGATCATTTGTGTTTGGTGTGGCTCAGAGGGTCCCAACCAGATGGTTTCCATGAACATGATCTGACCCCCAGTTTGAGGACTTCTTACTGGCAGATTACTTCATTTTCTTTCCCTTGGATTGTCAGATCCTTACATTAATGCAAAATTTACTGCTGCAGATTTATATTCACTTACATAAATCACTCAACATTTTACATTAAAACCACAATTTTAGACGTACAGTTTTACAGTTATTTTAAAAGTGTAAAAAGATTTATATGATAGCTTTATATATAATAGATGTAACATTATAATAAATTTCAGCAATTTGGATTATGTATATGTTTTGGTTCTTATCATTAAAGGAATCCCCACAACATATGTCATATGTTAGAAAGTTTATTTTGTAGAGTTGTTATGTATCTCAGGCTAATATACTCTTGATTCTGTATACATTGCTCAGGTTGTTTAAACTCGATGAAATAATTTATTTCTGAATTAGTGGAATATTGGACTATATTATGATTTTGGAAATTTTGGCACAAGTTAAATTTGTTTCTCAATTGTGGCATATTAAACTAATTACCTCACATTGTTGAAAGCATTTTTCGACATAGCATCAATACCTACATGAAATGTTAAATACTGACTCATCATAGTTTGACCTTAGAACCATGATTAATATAGGGGAGTATGCTATCAGTGTGCCATTTTAACCTGTGCACTTGAACATCATTAATGAATTATGTTAAATATTTAAAAACATAAATGTAATACATCTGAGACAATATATACATCTATTTCAGAATTTAAAAATGTTGTGATCTTAAATCAATGAACTGCTTCGCATACACATGCTTAAATTATCTAAGCTGCAAGATAAAATTCTAGAACCAAAAAATGAGCTCATACTCCGTGACCAATGTATTTATTTTTGCAAAATTTTACTTATATTTTTTTCACCAAATTCATAAGTTTGTCCATGCACAGACATGTTGAAGCGAAGATGAATAAATTTGCTTATTTATAAGGCTGGCAAACTATATCGTTTCAAGGAATTCCAGACATGTTATATCTTATGGGTCTCACTAAGGAATATATCAGCCCCAAGACAAGGAATATTACTGTATTCTTAGTTATCTTTTATAAAATATAGTCTCTTTGTTAATATAATTTGCTAGAATATCCAAGCATTTGTCAGGCAAACAAATTTTAGTTTTTATTACACCTTCAGATAATACCTTTGTATGCCAAATATTTCATATTTTCTTAAAAATAATTCAACTATGCTAGACTGTTTGGGCACTTTACTAACCAGGTACAGAATGTTACCTTGTAAGAGCCAACTAAGATTAATAGACTTTAACCTGTATTGCTTTTGAATTAAGAACTCTTAGTGAATCAATTTTTGATTTCGTCTTGCTTAGTCTTATTTTAGCTCTGTAAGGGCCTGGCAACCTAAGTAACTACACTGGGGATAGGGGAGCATAAAAATTACACATGAAATCACACTTTAGGTAATAATTTGAAGCATGATAAAAGCAAGGAATAACACTCTGATTTTTGTCTTCTGAATTTTCTTCTTTACCACATATCTGTTTAAATAAAGCAAACCTTGTATATATGTTTATATATACCCACACATATATACTTAAATCTTGATATACATGTATGTAAAAAGAGAAACTATGTAATATAAATATGTTCTCCTTTAATGTTTGTCTAGAGATATAATCTGAACATTTTAAACATTTTTTTCTTATATTTTAGTCTGTAAAGTAAAAAAGGAAGGGCCAAATTCACATGGAAATAGCTGTTTGTGTTATTTATATTTTAAAGTAAAAGCAATAAAATGCTAGTCAGTTCTAAGGCCTTAGCTGGTGTTAACAAAATCTAATGAACTGCAAAAGAAGAAGGGATTTTCTCACCTTTTTTTGCCAGCACATTTTCTAACTCAATCATGTTTCTTGGAAAGAACTGTGGAAAGGCAGATATGTTTTCATCTCAAGTCACTGTGATCTTTTGATCAAATTTATAGCAAGAAACAACACCTTTTCAAGTATTTGTTGTGTTCTTTGGTAAAAGTAACTCATAAAGACATAAGTATGGGACACTTTCTTTTTTGGCTGGCCTGTTTAGTCTGGTAAAGATATTAAGTGTTTGAGGGTATATTTACTCTCAAATTTAGTCTGATCCAAATATTTTAATTCTGCTTTTCTTTTCTAGCTTGAAGTACAATCTTGTTGTGTGTTCATTCCAAATGATAGCCTGCCTTCCCCAAGTACGATTGTATCTGGTGACATTCCTGGAACAGTAAGAAGTTGGTACCATGGACAAAGCAACATGCCGGGAACGCTTGTCCTCTGTTTGCCTCAAATAAAGATTATTAGTGCTGGCCACAAGTATATGGAACCTCTGCAGGAGATTCCATTTGTCATCCCACGACCCATCCTTGAAGAAGGTATGTTTAAAAAATTCTTCCTATGGTTATTATATTTTATACTGATATTTTTAGTTTTTTTGTTTTTTTAATATACCACTGCATCTATAAATCAGTTTTCCCACTGAAAGCTCTACATGAAAAGGAATTAAGTGGTCTACAAAGTAGATAAAAGGAGAGATCTGCGAAGTAAGTGAACTACGTGGTACTGTTGATTGACATCCACACCTTTTAATCATATTCATATATTCATATATATATAAATGGACACTATCTACAAAAGATCATATGCAATATAGTATAATTACTAAAATGCTAAACGTAGATAAAATTAACTTTAGAGGAGAGTTGGTTTCAGATGTTGGTATTAGGCTGAACAAAGAATTATATGTAGATTTTAATTTGAGCCACTTGACTTATGAGTGGATATATTATAACATATATAAATAATCAAATAATCATATTATTTACATCAAGCATAATATATTTCTAGATTTTTCATTTGTTTAAATAAAGTAGGTAATTATGTGATGATTGGAACCATAACTCTTTGTTTAATAAATACTTGATTTCTGATATTGTAGTGTTTTTACTTGCAAATTCATACCCTTTTGAACTTTGACATATTCATTTCAAACAATATGTGAACCTGGAAAAGTGTGGAGTCACAAAGTAAATAATGTGAATCTACATTTTAATAACAAGGCTCGAATTTTTGACAGTGCTAAACAGGTCAACACCTTGTTCATATTATTAGGATGTAAGTGTTTGAGTCCTGATATCATTCAGATTATTACACATACTGTTATTGAAAAGCAGATACAGTCTGTGCAGTTCTTGCTATTGACTTGATGTTGGTTTCTCTCTCTTTTTCTCTGTATTGAAGTTTCCACTGAAATCTAGTTTTCTTAGATTTGGCAGAAGTAAACATGATTTTACTGCAAGAAACTAATGTTAGTACTTAATAGTATGAGTACCATTATCATAAAATCATAGAATTCTAAGGGTTAGGAGGAACTTATTTAGAATTCTTCTTATGTGATCTTCGTCTTGATGCAAGGATCCTTTGTCTAGCATCTTGGACATGTCCATTCTTTGCTGTTCACTTTTGGTTATAGGCAATTCTTTATTATCACCACAGCTATTGTGTATTGTATCAAGGATGTGCTAGCCTCATAAAGTGGGCTGAGGAGTGCTCCCTTTTTCTTTGTTTTAACTTTGGAATAATTTTTGTAAGATTAAAATGATTCATACCTTGATTTTTTGTTAAAACTCACTAATATTTGTATAGCAGCTTTTTAAGATATAACTCACATAATATAAAATTCTTCCTTTTAAAGTATACAGTTAGATGATTTTTACTATATTTATAGTTTTGTGCAACCATCACCACTATTAAATTTTAGAATGGTTTTATCACCCTCAAAACAATTGGTATACCATTGGCAGTTATTCCTAATCCCCCTTTCCCCCTAGCCTCTGGCAGCCAGTAATCTTTCTGTCTTTATGAATTTACCTATTCTAGATATTTCATATAAATGGATAACACAATATGTGGTCTTTTGTGACTGGCTTCTTTCACTTAACCATAATATTTTCAAGGTTGATTTATGTTATAGCGTGTATGTCTTCATTCCTTTTTATGGCTGAATAATAATCCGTTTTATGGATATACTACATTTCCTTTATCTATTCGTCAGTTGATGGACATTTGAGTCATTGCCACTTTTTGGCTATTATGAATAATGCTGCTGTGATCATTCTACATGTTTTTCTTTTTTTTTTTAAAGATTTTATTTATTTATTTATTTTTCCCCCCAAAGCCCCAGCAGATTGTTGTATGTCATAGCTGCACATCCTTCTAGTTGCTGTATGTGGGACGCGGCCTCAGCGTGGCCGGAGAAGCGGTGCGTCGGTGGGCGCCCAGGATCCAAACCCGGGCCGCCAGCAGCAGAGCGCACGCACTTAACCGCTAAGCAACGGGGCCGGCCCTAGGGCTTTATCTTTAATCAGCTTTAGCTGTGAACAAGGATGTTCAGTTTCACCAGTTTTGACAACAAATGGCCTCAACCCTCAAGCCGTTTGTTTTGCTTACCTCTGAGTTTCTGGCTTCCTTCAGTTCTTGGCCTTAATAATCCTTACATTTTTGGGGAACTCATTAATGAATTTAAGAAGATATCATGTGTATGTTTAAACCAATCTATATAAATTTTATTCATAATATATGTTATATATAAACATTTTATAAATATATTCATCATTTTTATTTGTTTTTAGCACAAGGGTCATTCAGGACACTAAATCTACCATGTTCCTGGAAATAGAATCCCTCAGTGATTTAAATATATTGTCACAATATTATACCTCATTTTTTCTAATGGATTTTATGAAAGGACTGATATATACTGCCCCATAGCTCTTCAATGCTCATTTAAAATCCCTCTTATTCCTACAACACTCCTGCCATCTTCTACTGTTTGTCTTTTTCGTGTAAGTTATTTTATTCTCATCTTGTTTTTCAAATACATTATGAATGACTTAAGAACTACAGAAATCTTCATCTTTAAAGCATAAGATGTTATTATATTCTCTGAATTTTTTTTCTAGAACTGAGTTAGACAGCATATTAGTTTATTTTGAACTTTTAAAAAAATCACGTACCAGTTGGAGAGGGCTAGAATCAAATGGCTAGAATCAAATAGAAACTTCTAAAGTCTATTTTTCATACTCCCTAGGAGAATATAGAGTGACTACATAATCAACATTGGAATCTAAAGTAGAAACAATTTTTTAACCATATGGTTATTCTTATTGGCCAAACCTACCGTGAGGAAGGATTATTTCAATATATTTAAATCTTCTTTAGGTATTAAAAACTATAGATATTAACTTCTTATGAAGGAACATAAATTTAACTTTTTTCTTCATTTTAAAAGTTGTTTATAAAAATGTTTGGTATAATGCTTTGATGCATATGCGTAAAGAGCAGTTTACTCTGTCTTTACACCTGTGCGTAGATGGAGAAAGAATCTGGAGGTCTGTTTATTCATTTTATCAGTTTTCAACTAGTCCTCTTGGTTTTAGTGTCGCTCTGCATTCTCTTTTTCAAACGTAGTTGAGTATTAGAACTTGTCAAGAATGGATGCCATGAATCAGATTGATCTTTTATAACTTACCCGTCTTGGCCTCAGTCACTTGCTGTTTATCTATTACCTTTCCATGTTCAAATATTTTATGATATTTCTTATCTGCTGTCATGTTCTCTCCTGTTCTCATAGTCCTTTTTGATTTATAATGCTTTTTTTCTCTCTCACTGTCATTTTGCTGGTTTTAGAACATAGATAAATATTTTCAATCATTCATGTTCAACCAGGTATGGAATGTGTCTAAATCGATACAACCTTCCCATTATACTCCTTTCTAGTCTGCTTCTCTGATACTATTGTTTTATGTTCAGCTCATTTTTTGTTCAGTAAATGTTTTTTGATAAATATAGAGGATAGATTTGGTGGGGGGGGGCACACAGGGGAAGGTAGGAAAACTGGAGGCAAGGAAATTAGTTAGATATTATAGCTAGCTATTATAGTTGTCTAGAAACATGACTGTCAGAACCAGAATAGTGGTGATAGGGATGAAGAGAATGGGAAGAATAGAGAAATATTTTTTAAAAAATTGGCAAATCCTTGTGACTGGGTTAGTTATGGATAGTAAAGGAGAAATAAATATGTAGAATAGCTCCATGGTTTCTAGCTTGGAGGTCAGTGTAGATGTTTCCTGTATAACTAAGGTTTTATACTTCAAACCTTTTATTTTGATGGAAATATTTTAGTATATTGTATGTATATGTATTATATACATATATTAATATGTAAAATACATATATTTTATATGTACATATACAAAATATATAGTATCTTTGCCTTCTTAAACAGGAAATATGGCACAAAATCTAATCTTTTAAATAATTACTCAGGGTTATCATTTTTTTCCAGTTTTATTGAGATATAATTGACATATAACACTGTATTAGTTTTAGGTGTACAACATGATGATTTGATGTATATATTGCAAAATGATTGCTACAATAAGTTTAGTTAACATCCATTACCACACATAGCTATAAATTTTTTTTCTTGTCTTGAGAACTTTTAAGATCTCCTCTTTTAACAACTTTCAAATATGTGATACAGTATTGTTAACTTTAGTCACCATGCTGTACATTACCTCTCCATAACTTATCTTATTTCTGGAAATTTTATCACCTTCAGCCATTTTGCTCATGCCCTCACCTCCTGCTTCTGGCAACCACCAATCTGTTCTCTGTGTCTATGAGTTTGTTTGTTTTTTTAGATTCCACATATAAGTGAGATCATATAGTATTTGTCTTTGTCTGACTTATTTCGCTTAGCATAATGCCTTCAAGATCCATCCATGTTGTCACAAATGGCAGGATTTCCTTCTTTTTATGGTTAAATAATATTCCTGTGTGTGTGTGTGTGTGTGTGTGACATTTCTTTATCCATTCATTCATCGATGGACACTTAGGTTGTTTCTATGTCTTGGCTATTGTAAATAATGCTGCATGAACTTAGGGGTGCAGATATCTCTTTGAGATAGTGATTTCATTTCCTTGAGATATATACCCAGAAGTGGAATTGCTGGATCATATGGTAGTTCTATTTTTAACTTTTTGAGGAACCTCCATACTGTTTTCCATAGTGGCTGCACCAATTTACATTCCCAACAGTGCACAAGGGTTCCCTTTTATCCACATCCTCACCAACACTTGTTATTGCTTGTCTTTTTGATAATAACCATCCTAACAAGTATGAGGTGATATCTCATGCTGGTTTTGATTTGCATTTTCATGATGATGAGTGATGTTGAGCACCTTTTCATGTACCTCTTGGCCATTTGTATGTTGTCTTTGGAAAAGTGTCTATTCAGATCCTCTCCCATTTTTTAATTGGATTGTTTGTTTTTTTGCTATTGAGTTGTATGAGTTCTCTCTCTATTTTGGA